AAAATGTCACAGCCTGGTTCTTACTTTAGGAACACTTCAGCTAATTTTAGTCATATTTAACCCAGCTTTCAGAAGAACCTAAAGGCAAGAACACACTGACCTATATGTCATTCATAACACAGCACAGAGATAGAGGACACTACATAGTGCTTAAGACGATCACATATCCCAATTCAATGCAATCACACACCACCATCACCACAACTCTAGGTACAAAGTCCTGACAGAAAGGAGTTTCTTGACACCCTATCCCAGAGATCCAAGCTGGCATACAGAAGCATATTCAGGGGTAACACTAACATCCTTCCTGGTCTCTCCACCCTACTTCCAAATACACAATGGTCTGCAGCACAAACAAAAAACACATTTTCATATACCCAGCACTTCTGGACTATTTGGCCCATACAGCCTTCCCACATCAAAAGTGAGTTCCCAGCATTCAGAGTGTCCAAAGTGAGACCAAAATGAATATGAAAAGGGTACGAGAAGAAACTAAGTGAAAGGAATCAATAAAATATAGCAAGCCCCGAGGACCACAAAAACATGCGGTTGAACAGCAGGCTCAGGTTAGACCTGTTCTGCTAAGTAATTGGCTGAACTATGCCCCAGTGCAGTGGACACGTGGTACAGACCCACTGGCATCCATACTTCCTTAGACCTGTTGTTCCTCTATGCCAGTAGATCCGTCTGGAAGAGAGGAGTCTGGAGGCAGAGCCAGGAGTAAAATAACAGTCAGTGTGACACAGGAAGGGGCCAGTGCTCACTCTCTTCCATGGCTGTTGGTGAAGAGGGAAAGGCCTCGAGAGGAGAAGGGCAGGACAGAAGTTCTGTTGGAGAGGCAGGGAGGGATCTGGCTTTTAAAGGAGAAAAAAACAGATGACCATACTAGAAGAAAGAAAAGGTGAATGACACAAATGGTTCTTGCCATCCCATGGGCAAAAAGGTAGAAGAATTACCTTCACTGCAAACAGATGATTTTAACTTACTTAGATTAAGAGGAAATGTTACCACCAGATCCAAATACCTCTGATAGACGACAAAGACTTCATACCAATGAGTGTATTCACCTACTGCAAAACATGTACCAACATCAAAAAAGTGCCTAAAACCTGCAAACCCTCAGGAAACAGAAGATCTTGCTCTAACATCTGATGAATGGCAGATCTACTGTGTGAAATTAACAAATCCTGCGAAACAGAAGCCAAGACAACTCAAAGCAGCAGTCTCTCCCTCTCCCTCTCCCCAGCTTCATGCAGTTTCCCCATGAAATCATTCTTATCCCCCACCTCTGAATTTCTGTAAGTCTAAATTCAACTTTCAAAATACAAGATTACACATCCACATTTTCTTTAGCTTTGGCTGATCTAAAGAAGTAGAGATAGAACAAAGTATAACAAACTGATGTCCTCTGAAAAATCAGTAAAGTTTCCTTAAGATAGCATGGCAGGCAGTTTGGGAGAAGTGGGATTATAAGGTTTATGGGAGATGATCTGCAGGTTGTTCTGGGTGTAGAGGTGTTAAGCAATTTTTAACTTTGGGATTTGTTTCAATTTGTTTTTTTAAGTGGGTCTCAAAGCCTTCCACATTGGGACACTCAGTTTGTGTAACACAGTCAGTCTCAATTATGAAACAGGCATTCCTTTTGGCTGCTCTGCATGGGGAAGGACAATTCAACTTAGATATAAAACATACTTTTGCTAAAGCAATCAGTCTGTACTGGAGCAAAAGTAAGGATAGTGGCAGTATAATATCTGAAGATTATATTTTTTCTATCTAAAAAAAATAATCACGCACAGCTATTAAAAAACCCACATTACAGCACTACTTCAAAGATTTTTTTTACCGCCATTTACTGAAAACAGGTATTTTACTAGCCAAATACTAGCACCACTTAATTTGGCTCCATCAGTCTCCCACTTACTGAAGAGTAGCAAAATGTTTAAGAGATATGGGGTGTAACTGTTGGGAGTTTCGACTCTGGATTGTAACCGTCCCTAACCATGTTCTCTCCCACGTGACCTCTAGTAACTTATTCTCGTCTATTTTCTCTCATTCATTTCCACATAAGCTTCTGTGAAAGGAAACTCTTTCATTTACTTTCCTTAGTTATTAGCTTGTAGCAACAGGAGGAACAAACAAGCAGAGGAGATTTTACAGGACTGACATAGAAATATTAAGTGCAATTTTCTGTTGCTGAGCTCTACAAAGGACTGGGACTAAGTAGTACCAGAAACATTCTGAACGTACACTGATATAACTATAAATATAATTTAAATTCATCTCCTCGTGTGAATCTCATAATAGAGAAAAGGACTGAACATCTGTGCTGCCCAACTGTGATATTTCTTCTACAAATACAAGGCTTTCAAGCATAGCTTTAAGTCCAGCAAAGAATGAATTTAGCGATGACTCTCTTAATTCAGGACTGCTCTTTCCCTGCCAAGCTACTTAATGTGCAAGGCTTCTGCTTCCTCCTTTGCAGTCCACACTGCACCCTTTCGCTCTTGACCTTACACTGGCCCTGGTGCTCATCAAACCCTGCTTAATAAATCAATTCCATTCATTAATGCAGCTGAAAATTACCCCAGCTAAAAGCAGGGTAGTAATTTCTTCTGGCTTAGTGAATGAATCAATCCTGCTCAAGGAGAGATGAGGTCCAATACGCAAAGAAGGCAGTATAGTTACATGTCTGGAAGCAAAGGAAGGCAAGTGCTTCCCCCTCTTTATGTGGCAGCAAGATTTTTAGAGCATCTCTGCTTTAGATTACTCTGGTAAAACAAGCTAAACACTGTCAACAAAAATATGGGAAAACTTACAGTCTGCAAAGAAGGCAGTGCAAAAAATGATGCAGACCTTTTGCTGTACAGCATGGCATTGGTCGAGAAGGTTCCCACCCCATCCTGGATTTGTGACAGCATGCAACTGTTTATGGGGCCACAGCGTAAGACAGATCAGGAAAAGACAATGGTTTTTTAGGTTTGTTTTTCTTCTCCAAGAAATAAAAAGAGGAAGCTTTTCCCCTAACCTCTGACTGCACAACTGAGTTAACTGTAACATGCCTATGAGCAGGAATTTCTTTACCAGGCCTGGATGCTGGAGAACTTTGACTTAATTACAGAGCTGTTTAAGCTGCTTTATCTTTAGTCAGACCTGACAGATCACCAGATCTCTCGTGGTTCATTTCAGGCCTGTTCTCTGCTGGTACAAGTATCCATGCTCCCACACAGCAAACTGGATCAGAAGACAGATACAAAGAAAAATTACTGGGGAGGGCGAAGGAAGAGAAGGCACCTTCTTCTCTGTATTAGTTTCCTGGTCCAGCTCACCATATGCTCATACAAACAGCTGCCCCTTCTGTTTGTGTCAATTTAGAGTGAAAACGTTTACTGTCAGACATGACAACTCCTTTGGCTCACACTGCTACCAGTTAACTTTCTTAATCATGCAATTGGATGTCACAATTTTCAAAGAACACTTCAATGGGAGCTTAAACTATGTCAGGACTGCTGCAATCCCACTCCTTCCCTTCTCTTTATTGCATAGCTCGATAGATTTGTTGTTCCAGCACTGGTACAGAGTTGAAAGTACAGGCTCAAAAGTACAGACTCAATGACTTGTTTTTCTTTCTGTAGGACTTAGCCTGGGGCCAGCTCAGCAGCCAGCTCACTGCTCAATCCTCTAAGCACCACTACAGGAGAAACACGGAGGACAGAAGGAAGCGCTCACCTGCCGCAATGCCAGCTCAGATGAGCTTTCAGGATATGTTTAGAGATGGATGCAAACAGATCCCGCCTCCTCTACCTACACCCTTACTTGCTAGAAGCTGCAACTGAGGTGACATAACCAAGACTAATTGCACGTTCAAGCTAAGATACCTCACCCGTAGGATACTCTTTTAATACTTAGACTCTTTTAGCCTTAATGTATTTGTTTAGCCTTGCTTCTTTATACAGTGGAATCATACTGATTACCAAGGTGCCCCCAGCATCAATATACATGCGCCTTACACCCGCTACTACCAAAGCTACAACACTGCCTCCCAGCCAAATACTACCTCTTTATTTAGGTACCATAGCAACTGGGAAATGACAGAACTACAATGCTCAGGCTGTGCCCATGCCCTCCTACCCCACCATCTTCACCCCTCTCACAGCATGTTGTGTCATCAGCCTCCATCATCCCCTATGCCTTTCTTCTCCCCTCCTAGGCCTAGATTTAACACATTACCCCTCTCTCCAAGCATCAGGCTCTCCCCCCCCCCAGATAACTATTATGCCCTCCAGCCCTCAAACCAAGCTCTCCACCACCCCACTCCTCCCTCCTCCTCAATATCAGACTTCCCAAAAAATACCCTGTTTGCTTTTCTGCCCCCTTGCTCCAAGGTCAGGTTGCCCCTTGCCATCCCTCTTGCCCTCCCTCTCCCAACATACCCTTCTCCCCCACCCCAGACCAGCCTCTCTCCTTTGATATGCCTCATTCCCTACTCCCGACTTCCCCCACTTGTATATCCCTGTGCCCTCCCCAAACAACCTCATGCTCTTCCACATCACCTCAGACCACATTCACCCCATATACCTCATATCCTTACCCACAGGCCAGACTCCCACCACGCTTATATCCCTCAGGCCCACCCCCAAACACCCTTCATGCCTTCCCCCCTCACCTCAGGCCAGGTTCCCCCCATATCCCCTATACCCTTCCCCAACAAGCCAGGCTCCCCCCACTCTGACATCCCTTGCGCCCTCCCCAGACACCCTCATGGCCTTTCCCCCTCACCTCAGGCCATGCTCCCCCATAACCCCTGCACCCTTCCCTCCCAGGCCAAGCTCCCCGGTTCTGAGCCCCCCCCCCCCCCCGTGCCCAAACTCCCCTCACGGCCTTCCCCTCTCCTTGTGCCCTCCCACAGGCCACCCCTTCCACCACCCTCCTCACGCCCGCGCCCCCTCAGGCCAGTCCCTCCCCTCGCGGGCCGCTGTCCGTGTGCTTCGCCGCGCACCCACCAGGTACAAGGTGCCGTAGATGCGGAGGGACTCCGCCAGCGCGCTGCGGCTGACGTGCGCGGCGGCCACGGCGCAGCGGGGGTGCCAGGTGTGCCCGATCTCGTAGCAGCTGTGGGGGATGGACTTGCTCAGCGCCGCCATCTTTGCCGCCGCCGCCTCAGCCGCGGGGAGGTCGCGCGGGGCGCTGCCGGGGTTACTCGCGGGCAGACGAGCTCGCTCCCCCCCCCCCCCCCCTTGCCCTTCCCGCGCGCCTCGCGTGAGGCCCGCAGCCAATCCGCGCCCGCCGCGGGGCGGGGAGCGCGCGAGGGAGGGGTGGCGCGAGGCGGCGTGCGTGTCGTCGTCCGTTCCCCCCCCCCCCGCTATTCTGTCGTCGTGTCGTCCCCCCCTTCCCACCACGCCGCCGGCTCTTCCCGTTCCCACACGACCCCCCCTCCCAACCCCCGGTGCCTGCGGGAGGGAGTGGAAGCGGAGGGGAGGGGAGGGCAGTGTTCTGCTTTGGGAGTGAATGGTGGATACAGGGAATCCTCGTCGGGAACTGCGGAGATAGGGCAAGGGGTAACGGGTTAAAACTTAAACGGGGGAAGTTTCGGTTGGATATAAGGAGGAAGTTCCTTACTGTGAGGGTAGTGAGGCACTGGAATGGGTTGCCCAGGGAGGTTGTGAATGCTCCATCCCTGGCAGTGTTCAAGACCAGGTTGGACAGAGCCTTGGGTGACATGGTTTAGTGTGAGGTGTCCCTGCCCATGGCAGGGGGGTTGGAACTGGATGATCTTAAGGTCCTTTCCAACCCTAACTATTCTGTTTATCCAGACCCATAAGAGCAGTGACAGGTGGCACAGTTGCAAAAGGAGCGCCGCGTTCCAGCTTGGAATTCTGATCATTTGGAGACAAATTGGGCTGCCTGGGTCGGGAACTGCGCTTTTCACTTGGGTCTTTGTTAAGTGACAGTTTGTGAACAGTCCGTCCTGATGGAGCAAGTACAGCTTGTGCCTCCTGCACAGCGGTCAAGCCAGGAGAGGTTATTTCCAGACCTACATGGTGGGTCCATCCCAAGACAAGTAGGAAGGAGCATCAGCAAACTAACCTGCAGTCAGAAACAGGCTTGGAACGCATCCACAGCAGGAAAATTCCTCCGCCTTAAAGCCTGCGTCCAAATTCATCTGTGCAGTTTTGCTCCTTGAGACCAATCTTACCGCTTTCCACAAGATAGAGCAAATTTGGTGTTAATTTTGCAAAATTGACAGCATACCTGCATTTCAGATTTAGCATTTATTATAATTTATCCATTCTAGATGGATAAATTGGAGGTTCACAGAACTTGGAGCCATGGAGAAACTAGCTGCAGCCTCCCAGCAAATCGGCCCTAGGAGATTTTTGGCCTAAATACTTCAATTATCCTATTTCAGTCAAGCGTGCCTGACCGACCAGCCAACCCTCTGCTAGGTAGATCTCTTGTCTATGACAGTCTGTATTTAAAATCTAGTGGAATAACTGGAGACAACTTTAAATTCACCTTTAGATTCATGCTCCATCCCTGGCAGTGCTCAAGGCCAGGTTGGATGAGGCTTGAAGCAGCCTGCTCTAGTGTGAGGTGGCCCTGCCCATGGCAGGGGATTGGAACTAGATGAGCTTTAAGGTCTCTTCCAACACAAACCATTCAGTGATGATTTAGAGCTGAGGTACAGCTCCCCTGCAACGGCGTGGCTGACAAAGGGAGTGAATACCTCTACGTGCTGACCCTTGCAGGGCAGCAGTGTTGGCACAGTAACCTTCTGTAGTGTTGTCTGGACTTTGGCTTGGACTCAGTGCCTCGCTTGCTGTTTTTCTATTGCTGTTTAAGAACTGCTTGTGGGCAGAAAAGGCATTTATTGCCTCAGATATCGATTCTGGCTCCGTTGCTTGCGTGTTTTGGCTTTGATGCTACTCTGGGCTTAAGGCTTGCTTGCTGCTTTGTATTTGTGGGCATGTACAATACTCATAATTGCACAAGCTGATCATTTCTCTTCTGACATATGTTTTGGCAGACAGTTCTAATTCTGGAGGATTTTCCCTGCTCTAGCTAAGGAAAAATGGTAAAAAAGGACCCAACAAGGTACCTTGTCCACTTGTGCAGGAACCTTCCATAGCTCTCTGCTTAGATCTGGAGGCTTTTGCATCTCTCTTGTTGGGTCTGCTGAGGAAGACTCCAGTGATGCACTAATAAAGAAGGTGGCACAGCCCTGACCTTGCTCCAGACCCTTTTCCATGGTGTTGCACTATTCTATTCTGGGAAGAAGCCCTAGGGGTAAAGCAGCATGGGAATACCACTGATATAGCCCAGTTGGCATTGGATGTCAGCCCAGGCTACTCTGTCATGAGAGAAACTTAACTTACCCTTGATTGGAACTGGAACAAAATAATCTTGGGAAAGCATGGAGGCCATGAATTAACAAAGCATTGAGGACCTTTACTGTAAGTAAAGTCCTCGTAAGTAGCTGGGGGTTTTGGGAGCACTTGTTGCATGAGCAAGGTTCTATATTGGGAATAGCAGGCAGTGTCTATAACGTTGCTTAAGCAAACACAGAGATGAATCCTGTGGCACAAAGCCAGGTGACGTGGTACACGCTGTTCAGAGCTCGCCTGGTAATATCCAGGTGCCTTGGAGGGAGTTACTCAAGAGTAATCCCAAATACAAAGCCAAGGAGTGAGCTAATCGCTGAGCAGCGTGAGTGGTGAGGGAGCTGAGAGTGCTCCGCTTGCTCCCTCTTCCTTATTCATGCAGCAGTATTAGATACACCACAGTCTCTGAATAGAAGTTTAGGCTGCCAAAAATGTCAGATAAACCTGTGAGCCTCGCTAGACCAGGACAACTGCGATAGCCTGGGCTCCATGCCTTATGCCACAGAAGGGTGTAGGCAGTGTGGCAGCATCTCACCTCATATAGACTGCCTGCTCCAGTTCAGAAGTATTGGGTTAACAAAACGCAGCTCTCAGCACAAGTCCAGGGCCAGACACACTCTTTAGCAAAGAGACATTAACTGATGGACAGCAGTGATCCTCCAGTTTGCCTAAACTGATGCTAACCGGTTATGTCAGGGAGTCACATAGCTTGGGTAGCAACTGCTGAATGAAGAAACACAGTGCCTGCCTTTCCAGGTTTTGGTGGGTCTCACAGTCTGAGAACATCCTCTGCTGAGATCTTCAGCATCTGCTACATCTGGTGTCTGCAAGTAAATCACTTCTCTCAATCCATGAGCAGAGCTGGAGGTGTGAAGATCTTCTCTTGCCTTTGCAGTGAGCAAGTGTCTGCGTTACGAGGCGATCTAGCTGGGAGTCAAGGCAGAGCGTTTAACTAATTGGAACAAAGGCAGAAAGAAAGAAAATGAAGAAAAAGGACAAACAGGGAAGTTGGAGGCTTTGCCTTCCAAATGCGTTGGGATCTGGGAAATCTTCCTGCTAAACAGTTTTAAGCATCAGAACAATCTGGAAACATTTTAACTTGGAACAAATGTAATGCTTTGCCCTCTCCATTCCTTCATGCTGCTTTCCAACTTGTGTGCTTTTTTTTTGCCATGTATTTGTTTTCTCCCTTGGGACAGGTGATCCAGCTTTTCCCTGCTACTTTTGGTGCCTGAACTTCACTTCCAGAAGTAGCTTCTCTTTTCTGATAGGAACTGCTTATTCCAGCTGATGGGGTATTTTACACTCCCTTATTTCCCTTCTTTTCCCATTCTTACACTTTCATTGTTTTTCTCCTCCAGCTTGTTCTCCTGCCATCTCTGTGATTGTCTCATGCTTCCATCATGAAGTCTGTGTAATCCAGACTGAAAAATACTCTGCTGCCCCAAAAGCTAGGAATTAAGTTCATCCTTCTGCTCAGGCAGTGGAGGCAATGTGTACTCAATAGGCATCTGCTTCCTTCAGTGAACTGCCCTGGAACTTGGAGATGTTGCTCCAATCTCCATTTGTTCTCAAAATCTCAGATAAATCGTAGGTACAGTATATAATTAGGTTGGTAGACACGGCTTGTAACATGTATCACTAATAAAAGAAATGGCTGCATTGAATGGGAGTGAATAGCCACTAATTGTGCTGGGTTTACTTTCCTCCAAGGAAAGAAGGAGCCTTTAGAAACTACTTTTCACCCTTGTCTCCAAAGCTACTTGCACTTTAAACTTAGCCCATTTTGCATTATTTGAAGAGGGATTCTCCTCTGGCTTGCAGCCATGAGTGCTGCTTGTTCATGTTTTAGTGGGGAATCATCTCAAAATACCCTTGTGTTTGCTGATATTTCAAGGTGAAGGAATCTGGAAGTTTTCCCATTTTCCAGATGTACTCATTTCCAAAATAAATATGGGATGGGCTGTGGGATAATACCCTGTGAACATTTTAATACACACGATAATATCCTCCAGTTTATACACATCTGGATTTTTTCCAAACATAAATGTCACAGTCTTCCTTACACAGGATCACATCAAGAAAGCACAATCATAATGTTCTCCATGCTGATTCCTCAGGCCAAACCAGGAGATGACATACTGAGCCATATTCATGCTACTGGCATGAGTAGGATTGTACCTCAACTGTATTTATCCTGTGGTGCTTCTGTTTCTGGAGACAGTGATTTCTTCTTTCTAATTCAGGTGACAGAATTGGTCATTAAAGGCTAAATTAAGACATTGGGCTCTCTGCAGAAGGAGTGAGAGTCAGTGCATGTGAACATCATCCCCAGAGCATCCCAGAACAGCAACTGTGATCCTGCTGCTGCTTTCCTGCTCTCCAGAAAAGTGCTTTCTGTAGTTCTGGAAAGAGTGCAAGATCACATCTTGCTTCATCCAGTTACCTCAGTGTATTCCTGTGCTTGAAGGTCCCTTACCCAGAATAAAGGCCAGTTCCCTACCTACTGAAATCACTGCAACCCACCTTCAGGTGGAATAACATCTTTCCTGGTAGAAGAGTTGTAAGCTATCAGAAGGTATGTCTGCCTGTGCTCTGCACTCAACAGTGCTGTGTCTGGACCTCGTGTCCTTATCTGCCATCCTCCTGTCTCAATGTTTATGGAATTCAGCAGTCAGAGAAGACTTATCCCACATAGCTTCCAAGTCCTCCATTTCTGGCTACCAGGTGGGGGCAGCAGCCTTCAAACCTGCAGATGATGTTCACCTTTCCATGACTGTGGGTGGGAAGGATGAGAGCAGGCTGGTCACACATGTTGCTGTACACACGGGGCTCTGAGGCAGCCTTACATGGGTCTCCACTCCTGAAGAGGTCTAAGAACTGAAGCAGAGCTCTGGACCCCTATTGTCTGTGCTG